TTTCATTCTCATGTAGCACCGAAACTATTGATGTGCCTTAACGGCCAAATAAAAGACATATTTCTTTCAAGTAGCATCAATATGAAATGTCACCTATTCAATAACACAATCAAGGCTTAATTTATATGAAATGCCACCTATTCAAAAACACAATCAATTGATTAAGAATTTTAATTTTACCTCAATCAGTTCCCATATTGACTCCCTCATTGCTTCATCAATATCACGCCAGTCATTAATTAATAGGCTAAGCTATGATCGAGTCACTGCACCGATGTAACTACTAAATTTATGCTTGTTCTTCTTTATTAGTTGACCCTTAGGATTTCATTTAAGGGAATATGTAAGTCCGGCCAACCTCCTCCTAGACACCATTTCCATCATCACTAGACCTTTCTTGATTGTTTTAGATATTTGAGTTGCCTCTTTCTCATTCATTCCACTGGGAATAGAAGAAGGACCCTTATTATCAGGACTAGAAGCAGCACTGAGAGGATTGTTCAACAAGTTTGCATGTTTAATGTCAACAGGACTAGTGTAAACTGGAGCAGTGACTGTGGGAGCTATATTAACTGGAGCAGTGGCAGTAGGAGCTGTGTTAACTGGAGTAGTGGTAGGAAGAGTAGGGTCAATAGGGAAAGTGGTAGTAGAAGCGACTTTATGTCTCTTTGGAGCAATTTTTGAATCCATTTACCTATCATACAAGTCACAAATAAAACTAATTGATAGAAACACAAATAGCATAAATAACTAAAGCCTACAAACTAAGTCACAAATAAAATTAATTGATAGAAACACAAATAACATAAATAACTAAAACATACAAACTAAGTCACAGATAAAATTAATTGATAGAAACATAAATAACTAACACATGTTTAAGTTGGTCTTTTTCTTTTCCTTGTCTCCTTTTGAACCTTTTTCAACTTGGCAGCTTGGTTTAATTTCTTAATATTCTCTTTTATTCTTTTTCCTCTTTTTGAAATCTAGATACCATCTTTATGATCACTTCTAATATAGTTGGTGCCATCTTCAATGACATTACATTCAAGTGTTGTCCCTTCAAATGGATCATCCTCAATTGTTGTATTTAGCGAACTGATGGCCTCTCTAAATTCTTTATTTGACAATAACACAATTGACCAACCTAGTGAAATAGGATTAATGACATAAAACACTTGCCTAGCTTGTGATGCAAAAATGAAAAGCTTGATCTTGTAACCTATCATATTTAAATTCACCTGTATGAACCCTAAATTATCATCCGTGTGAAGACCACTCTCATTATCAATCCATTTGCAACCAAAAACTGAAATCTTGAACTTACTATAGTTTAACTCTCAAATATTCTCAATAACTCTGAAGTATGACATTCTTGCATACATGGGATTTTTGTCTTTATTGCTGGATACACACATCACTTCACCAATCACAGTTAGACCACTATTTTACATTGTGCTTCTTTTATCCTACTCTTTAGTAGAAAATGTGAAGCCATTGATTACATAACTAGTATAAAAAAGGACTTATATGTTTGGACCCCTAGACAACCATCTAACCCTTTCTAGTACTAAATTTTTGTCAGCATTATACATGGCTGCAATGTGTGCTTTCAACCAATATCCGAAGTGCTTGTTATGAATTTTTGCAATTGTAGTGTCATCATACAGCACACTTTTCTCCACTTTCTTATATAAGACAGTTTTGTATTAAACCGTTCTATATGAGAAGTCCTCTATTAACAGTTTTCTAATAAATATCAATTTTTTTAGAAAATGACATTTTTGATATATATATATATATATATATAAGATCGGAGGAAATGTAAAATAGTAGTAAAGCTCTTGGAACTATCAATTGGAAAATATCATTTTATAAAAAAAATTGAAATTTCTATTTTTATTTTTTAAGCTTGAAGTTGCTTTTTGTTTTCTTCCACTACTAGAAAAATACAAATTAGCAAGAAAATTTAGCAAGGGATCATCTATGCCTCTCTAAAATACCAAGTTAGCGAGGAATGTTGATTTCATAGCTTGACTTAAAATTAGTGAGGGACTATCAATCCCTCTTTAAAATAAGATAATTAGCGAGAGATTCTATCCCTAGCTAATTACTACAAAAAAAATTACTTTTTGACAATGACTTTTAATTATACATTTAATTATTTTCATTTAAAAATAATAATTAAATTTAAAAATTAACTAAAATATTCATAATAAAATTATTTAATATTTTCTTTATTTTAAGTTGATTTTCATTAATAAAATTATATTTTATTAAAAATATAATATAAAGAATAATTTAAATAAAATATAAATATTTTTAACATATTAATAATTGAAAATAAAATGTAATATGTATATGTGTGTATTTTTATAATATATTATTTGATATATTTATGTAGTTAATTCAAAAGTATGTAGTAGGTGATAGGGCACGAGATGGTAGGTGATATGGTGGTTAATAAAGCATGAGATTGTTGATAACATGTCACAGGTTGACATCACACATGGCGGGTGATGTGACATAATTATTTTTAAATAAAAATATATTTAGCGAGGGATTAGTGAAAGATTCAGTTCCTAGCTAATTTTAGCAAGGGATTGAATCCCTCGCTAAATCCCTCACTAATTAGTAAGAAAAATACAATTCCTCGCTAAATTTAACGAGCCTTTTTTTAACTATGAATTTAGCGAGGGACAAAATTCGTAGCTATAATGCAATTTAGCTACGAAAAATGACATTTAGTGAGGAATTCGTCTATCGCTAAATTTAATTTTTCTAGTAGTGTTTCCCCAACTTCCCGTGGCATCCACCCCTCCCCAAATTACAAAACAGCTCCTAAAAAAAGATAAATTAAAGTATATTATAGATAGGGATTGTAGTCATAAAATATTTATACTATTTAATTAATTCAAATTAATTATAGTGGGCCAAGAATTGGGTTCCCAAAGTCTCATATATTCTGTTTGAATAGTATCTGGTGGCGACGATTTAGTTTGAGCAGTTAGACCATTATTGCGGTATGCCCCAAAACAAAAGTTTGAATTTGTTATCCAAAACAAAAAACAAAAAAAAAAAAAACACAAACAAACAAACAAAAGGAACAAACAAACAAAAGTTTGAATAGTCAGACGATTAATGCAAAATAGCGATCCTTGCCTTGTCCGAAAGAATAGCAGCGGGTGTAACTGACTGAGTTTGGATGACGGACAATTATTTTTCACCATTTAATTAGACTAATCAATTTAAATTGATTTCAAGTTAATATTTTCTTTTTTTTCTCAAATTATAAAATAATTTTATACAAAAAAAATCACACCTAGCAATAAAATTTATTAAATATACTTTATAACTTTATTTTTTAAAATAAAAATATAAATTTTTAAAAATGATCTTCATTTAATACTCTATCTATGAAAAAGAATTAAAGAAAAGTAAGATAACATTAAAAAATATTATTAATAGAATTTTATTTTTATCAAAGTATCTTATATTTTAAGATATCAAATCTTTTTTAAAAATATTTTATAATTTGAGAGAAATGAAGTGTATATCAACTTTAAACAATCACAATTTTGGGCATGATATTTAGTATGAAGGATTGGTAGGTATGCCTTGTGTCCCAGCATGATGTAGAAACTATGCGAAACGTTCTTCTATAAGAAGGAGTTGAATAGCAGTAGTTGGAGGTTGGAGCTTCTATTATTCTAGTTGGAAATTGATGACATCTATTCCTCAGCTTGGGGAGGAACATCCTAAATTATTGTAGAATATCTTAAATTAATTTTAATTATTTTAAATTCATCAGAATCTCATGATCACAGGAGAATTTTTAGTGGAATTCTATTTCACTTGCACCAAACTCAATTGTTAAGAATTAACGGTGTAAAGTTTGGAGAGCAATTAAAGAGTTCAAGCTCTTTTTACATGATAAAAAGAATATATTAATTAGGGGAAAATAAAGAGAAGGGAAAGGATGTCAAGCGTTTGAATAAAGATAAACATATTTAGATTAATGAAAAAATTCAGAAGACAAAGAAAAGAAATTTAAAATAGTGTTCCATTAATATGAAAAGTTTACAAAATATAAACTGTCCTAATAATAATTAAAGCATATCCTGATACTAACTAATTATTATAAGAAAACAAAACTAATATAATTTGCCTTATATATTAAAGTGCTTGTATTCAATTCAATCAAGATATGTTAATCTTTTATACATTATTTTTCTATAATAAATTATTGTTATTAATTAAATTAATACATAAAGACCCATATGTCATGATTTGATTTGAAATAAATATATTAAGTATATAAGGTTAAGTATATAAATTTTACCCTTAGAATAAAATATTCCTTAAATATTAATAAAATAAATATCAACAGACACAATATCTTAACAGTTGGCTCAAAAAAAGATATAATATCTTAATAGGCTAAATTTTTATAGATAATAGAGTAAAGATGCATTTTTGTTTTTAAAGTTTGTTTGAAGGGACATCAAATACCCTAAAATATTTTGTGTAGTATTTTCCCCACTTAAATAATTAAATTAAAGCATTGGATACTCTGATATTAAATATCACAAATGTCTGTTTGGTGGGTACATATTATGGGACTTGTGGCGTGGGTCTTATTATTAATTTATTGATTTTTTCACACAAAATTAATTTATTGTTATTTAAGTACATCACTCTTCAATAAAGGCTTCACTTATGGCACCTGCTTCAAGCTCGAGTATGTCATTGACCCTGAGTTGTGCATCCTCAGCACCGGCACCATCAAGATCACCACCACCAACTTTTATCCACTCAACGACTTCTCCCCCTGACGTCAACAACACTGCCTAATCTTGTTCATGGCAATGAAAATAATGTCAACTGTGTTTGTTTTTTTCTCGATGATAATAATGTTGATGAATGCATGGTTTTGGACAATGACTCTTTATGACATTTTCTTCTATACTCTCAAGCTCACCCTCCCAAGATTTGGAGATTTGAACCATCTAATTTCTGCCACCATGAGTAGTGTCACACGTTATCTACGGTTCCTTGGTCAACTGAATTTAGATGTCTGCAAACTTGCCGTCAATCGCATCCCTTTCCCTCGACTGCTTCATTGTTGGCTTTGCTTTGCTCATATCTTGTGGGTCATAGCAGTATAAGGCTCTCACTATGCCTGAGTTGAATCAACAAATGTGGGAAAGCCTCCTCCAGAAACTTGCTTTGTTTCTGAAGAAAGAAACAGAGCAAGGCTTTGCTTGCAAAAATCATGCAGAAAATGCAAGAAGGAGAAGACTGAAGCAGTGTGTAGCAAAAAATGCAAGATCCCTGGAGAGAGCTCTGATAACAATGAAGTCAAGGAGTGTGGAGGGAGATCAAGAGGAAGAAAAAGACTGAAGAAGTGAAGGATCTCTCCACTCTCAGAGGATTTTAAGTGGGAGACAAAGGAGGAGTCTTCTTTGAAGGAAGCCATGTGAAGAGTTGCTTCTTCCATTAGAGAAGCCACGAAGCTTTTCTTGTCTGGTTTTGGGGATGCGCCTGGGAGGTTTTGAACGGTGGTTTTTGGAGAGACATGATGAGGTGACATGAGAAGATTAATGGGAGAAATGCAGAACAATGAAGGATTAGAAGCCATGTTTTTTGATTCTTTTGATGATGATGTAGATGGAATTAATGGAAGAGGAGGGAGAGGAAAGGTTTGGTTTTTAGAGAGAGAATGGTCGGTTTGTCTGTTTCTTTTGCCGGAGATCTTCCTTCATGGCGTCACTCATAGATTGTTCAGTATGGTGAGATTGAGGAATGCAAGGCTGTCATCTTAGCGTGGAGAAGTGGCACTTGAAAGGCGTTGAATCAACGTGCCGTTGTCTGGATTGGTGCGGTGAGCTTGGAGAAGTCGCCGGGGATGGGGATGACGCCGTCGTCTTCGCGTCTGGGCTCGGTCGTGGGCGTCGTCTCCCTTCTTGCTCACAGCGCCGTATCTTCTGGCTCACGTGCACGACGTTCCTCTGGTTCTCTTAGTTCGCGGCGTGGTGGCTGTAAGTCACTCCATGAACGCCGGCGGCATGTCCCTCTTGCGGCTGGAGAAGACCCAGGAAGAGGGTTAGGAACCGGATCCTAGGGATCCAGTTCCACGAGTTCTGGGCCCATTTTTGATTGGGCCCAGATCTGATACAAAAAAAAAATGTTTTAGTTAATTGCGTTCCAGCCTCAGTTTAATTTACCTCCTTTGGCCCATAATTTATTAAATTTATGAATTATCCCCATGATATTTCTATAAATTACATATTAGTCCCTTAACTTCCAGAATTGCAATTTTGACCCAAATCTCTTCCAGAATTACCTATTTGCCCCTGATTAATTTTAAAATTTCACTTAAGTCCCAAATTTGTTCCCTAATTCCCAAAAGACCTTAAGGACTTTTAAAATTATTTTGTTTTGTCCTAAAGTCATAGAGTTTATGACTTTGTAAATTATTGATGATGTTTAGGATCTTGTAGCATTGATAATGGACATACCCCATAGGTATGACATTATTAATGTGATTTTGATGGTTGGCTTTGAGAATAGGCTAATAGCACTCCTTTAATGTATTAGATATTTATTGTACCCTATAGGTATGGAAATGTTTAATGCATTATTTTGTATGGACTTTTGCGTGAGCTAAATCTTTACGGTATATGAGCCTTCTTGGTGCATGGTTATAGTTGCATAATTGATAATCGCTTGTTGGGAATTCTGTTTTATAATTATGTTGTGCACGCATAATTAATATTTCCCATTTTCTGTTTTGCGATTTCAGTTTCTGCTTTTATGCAACTATCCTTTGTGAAGGCTCTTAATGGGACTAACTATGATGACTGGAAAGAGTCTCTCAATATGTATCTGACTATTTCTGAGAAAGATTTAGCTCTGAGAGAGCCCAAGCCTGCGGATCTCTCTTCCGAGTCCAGTACTTCTGAAATAGCCTTCCATAAACAATGGAGTGAGTCCAACCGGATCTGTCCAGCGATCATCAAGTACACAATTGAAAAGGGAATTAGGGACAGCATTCCTGAAAATGATACTGCAGTGGAGTACTTGAAAGCCATTGGTAACAAATACAAGAAGCTTGACAAGACTCAAAAGAACTACTATCTGTCACTTCTTGACAATACTCGATACGACGGAGTTTCTGGTGTCAGGGAGCACATTCTGAAGCTTGTTCATTACTATAACAAGCTTAAGTCATATGGGATTGATTTGGGTGAAAGTACCTTGGTTTACCGTGTTCTTCAATCACTGCCATCAGAGTACGCATTCTTGAGGACTTCATACAACTCACAAGAAGCTGAATGGTCTGTTGACCAGATGATATCGATAGACACTCAAGAAGAGGAAGCTATAAAGAAGAATTCCTCTCACTCAATAAACTATGTCTCCCATGGCTCTAGCAGCAAATCTGGAGGGTCACATAAGAAAAAGGGGAAGAAGTATGATGCCCCAAAGCCTAATAATCCAACCTTTAAGAAGGATGGTGATAAGAGTGAGAAGTCGAGGAAGAAACCCTTTAAAGGGTTATGCAATTATTGCAAGAAACCGGGACACATTAAAGCTAATTGCTTCAAATTGAAGAACAAACAAGAAAGTGAAGGTACAACTCTTCAAACTGCCCCTCTAGCTCTAGTTTGTTTTGAATCTAACACCATTGAAACTTCCTTTGACTCATGGTGGCTGGATTCTGGTGCCACTGTACATGTTGTGAATTCTCCACAGGGGCTAAGAAACCAGAAGGTTCCAAGTGAGGCACAGAGGTCAGTCTTTGGCATAGCAGGGAGTAAGGCATCGGTTGAATGCATTGGAACTATTTCTTTGTATTTAAATTCTGGTCATGTTTTACATTTGAACAATGTAGTTTATGTACCTTCTGCGAAGAGGAATTTAATTTCAACTTCTGCATTGGATATTTGTGGCTATTCATTCTTCCAAGGAAATGGGAAAAATAACATTTGTTTTGATTCCATTAATGTTGGTGTTGCTTCCTTGATATATGGTTTATATCGATTGAATGATTGGTCACTTGAACTTCCTAATCTTCATGTCAATACTGCTATTGGGCATAAACGTCAAAGGCCCAATGATAATTCCTCTATGTTATGGCATCGTCATTTGGGTCATATCTCTAGAGAGAGATTGAAACGCATGATCAAGTAAGGTGTCTTACGAGACCTTGATTTCTCAGATTTTGAGACTTGTGTTGACTGTATAAAGGGAAAATTCCCTGCTAGAGCTAGAACCAAAGGGGCAAAGAGGTCTGAAAATACTTTAGACCTAATCCATACTGATATCTGTGGACCTATCACGCCTCCGGCTATGGGTGGTTTCAGATATTTCATCACCTTCACGGATGATTACTCTCGTCATGGATGGATTGAACTCTTGCGTGAAAAGGGCAAGTCCCTTAATGCATTCAAGACCTTTAAAGCAGCAGTTGAATTGAAATCTGGCAAGTTGATCAAGTGTGTGAGATCTGATAGAGGAGGAGAATTTTATGGGAGATATACTGAGACTGGCAGGAACCCTGGGCCATTTGCTTTGTACCTTTAAGAGCATGGCATTAAAGCTCAGTATACTATGCCTGGCACCCCGCAGCAAAATGGGGTTGTAGAAAGGCGAAATCGTACTTTCATGGATATGGTTAGGAGTATGATCAGTCACTCCTCACTGTCAAAATTCTTATGGGGTGATGCACTCAAAACTGCTATTTATATTTTGAATCAAGTTCCTAGCAAGTCAGTTCCAAAGACTCCATATGAGTTGTATTTTGGAAGAACTCCTGCGCTGAAGCATATGCGAGTTTGGGGTTGTAAAGCACAGGTAAAACCTTACAATCCACAACAGATGAAGCTTGATGCTAAAACTGTTGATGGTTTCTTTATTGGCTATTGCATCGGATCTCGTGGGTACAGATTCTATTGCCCAAATCACACTACTAGGGTAATTGAATCTGATCGAGCTTACTTCTTTGAAGATGCCTTAGACAGTGGGAGCTCTGTGCCTAGGCATATTACCTTGCATGACGAAAGTAGTATTTGCCTATGCCTATCTTGACAACTCCTCATGTTGACAGAAATAATGCCGTGGATCAGAATGAAGCTCAAGATGAACCACCTTTAGAGCGTGATAGGGACATGGTTGTTGAACCGAGACGGTCCCAAAGGGTTCGCAGGTCTGCTATTCCAGATGATTACATGGTATATTTGTAGGAGTTTGATTCAGATGCTATTAATAGCTTAGACCCAATGTGTTACCAGGAGGCCATTTCTAGCTCGCATTCTTCTGAATGGTTGGAGGCTATGAGTAAAGAAATTGCCTCTATGTATCGCAATCACGTATGGGAGCTTGTAGAGCTACCAAAAGGGTTTAAACCAGTGGGTTGCAAGTGGGTCTTTAAAACAAAACGAGGAGCTAGGGGTGAAATTGATAGATATAAAGCCAGACTTGTAGCTAAAGGCTATAACCAGAAAGAAGGTATTGATTACACAGAAACCTTCTCTCCAGTATCCACCAAAGATGCTTTTAGAGTAGTAATGGCTTTAGTTGCACAGCTTGATCTTAATCTTCACCAGATGGATGTCAAGACTGCGTTCTTGAATGGCGATTTGTATGAAGAAGTCTACATGACACAACCTGATGGTTTTGTTGAATCCGGTAAAGAACATCTAGTGTGCAGATTAAAGAGATCCATCTATGGGTTAAAACAAGCCTTTAGGCAGTGGTATCTGAAATTTGATGAAGTTATCACCTCTCTTGGTTTTGTTGAGAATGTCTCAGATCAGTGCATCTATCAAAAGTTTGATGGGAACAATTTTGCCATTCTTGTTCTCTATGTTGATGATATCTTATTAGCCAGCAATTCAATAAATTTTCTCAATGAGATAAAGCACCTATTGTCTTGCCATTTTGACATGAAGGATATGGGTGAAGCCTCCTTTGTTCTTGGGATACAAATTCATCGTGATAGATCTCGTGGTATTCTTAGTTTATCACAGGCCACTTATATTGAGCGGGTACTTAAGAGATTCAAAATGGATTCATGTTCTCCTTCACCTGCTCCTGTACAAAAAGGTGAGCTGTTGTCAAAGTCACAATGTCCCAAGGATGATAAGAAGAGGGCTGAAATGAGAAAGATACCATACGCTTCCGCTGTCGGCAGCCTTATGTATGTTCAAGTGTGTACTCGACCAGATATAACCTTTGCCATTGGAGTACTGGGTCGATACTTAAATGATCCAGGTCCGGATCATTGGAAGGCTGCTAAGAAAGTTATGAGGTATCTTCAAGGTACAAAGAATTATATGTTGACTTACAGAAGGTCAAATTCTCTTGAGGTTGTTGGGTATTCTGATTATGACTTTAAGGGATCAGAAGATCTTGAGATTGTTGGCTTTTCAGATTCAGATTTTGCCTCTTGTCTAGATGATCGTAAATCCACGACTGGCTATATTTTCATGTTGTCTGGAGGAGCTGTCTCTTGGAAGAGTGTGAAACAGACACTTACGGCAATTTCATCTATGGAAGCTGAGTATATTGCTTGCTTTGAGACTACACATCACGCTATATGGCTGAGGAAGTTGATATCTAGCATGCACCTAGTTGAGTTAATATCACGTCCTCTAACCATTTATTGTGATAACAAATCTGCAGTATACTATGCTAACAATCACAGAAATTCCAGTCGTACAAAGCATTTTGATATCAAACTTATGTTTGTGAAAGAGAAAATTGCTGAGTCTCAAACCCGTGTGGTACACATTCCTGGCACGCAGATGCTTGCAGATCCGCTGACTAAGGGCTTACCTGTAGAAGTTTTTCAAAATCATATAACTTGTATGGGTATTATGAATTCCTTTGATGCCCTAGTTTAGTGGGAGTTTGAGAACCTTCTTCGTTGCAATTTCTCTTTAGGCTTTGTTTTCTTCTGTGAGTTATGTTCAGTTCAGTTAGATGCGTCTATATCATTTGTATCCCTATAGGATTCAATGATTCTGTTGTGATACGCTATGCATGTCACTTGTTTCTCCATAGGAATCAGTGATTTATGTTGTTATCTTACTGAGCTGTGTTTGAAATAAAATTTCATATTTTACTCAGATTATGAGATATCATATCACTTGTTTCCCCATAGGATTCAGTGATTTTGTGGAGTTTCATTTTCTGAATTTGTTTGTGGCTTGTTTATATAACTTGCTTAATTAATGCAATTCAAGTGGGAGATGTTTGGAATATTATTTATGAATTAGCATTAATTAATAAGCCTAATAAATTGGTCCTTATGATCTTGTGTGGACTGTGATAGGTGGACCACACAAGTGAGCCCAATGGGCAGAGGCTCAACCCACAACCTAGTAGCCGTCAGTTATTTCCTATCTCTTAACTGACTGAGTCAGAGATAATAGATAATATAATTATTTAATTATTTAATAAGGCGATTACCGATTTGATCTATATAAGACGATTAGTCGGTAACCACAAACACACGACTCATTTTCTTCTACTTCCATTGTCTCTGAACTCTCTGAAAGCTCTGGGGACTTGAGGGTTGTGTACTTGCCTATACTCGAGGTAATCGAGATCTCTTTAGCATTCATGGATTCTTCAGGTACGTATGAATTACTTTATTCTATCATATTATTATTATACATATGAATTGAGATATTAGATTTAACAGGGTTTCATTGTGGAATATTTTATAATAAAAAATATAATGGGGCTCACCACGTCATAGAAAATGAGGCCTACTATGAATGTTTGTGATATTTAACGTTAAAATACTTGATGTTTCAATTTAATTAATTAAGAGGTGAAAATGCTATACAAAATATTTTAAAATATTGGATGCTCTCTCAAAAAAACTTTAAAGGAAAAATATACGTTTATCCTAGATAATATATCATAACACTTCCATTCAAAATTACGATATCTTTGAGTTTGTAACAACTTGCATTGATTAATTTGAAGAATAAATCTCAATATATCTTAAAAAGATTCCCTTGAAGTCAAGATGCTGTTGAATTTATAACAACTTGTATTGCTCAAAATGATTCTCTTATACATAAATAATCACTAAACAAAATCTTGAAATGATTTTCAAAAGAGATGAATCAGTTAGTAAAAAAATTAAAAAGTGATTTTTAAAAATAAATCACTAAGTAAAAAAATTCCAAATGATTCTCTTACAATGATCCTTGACAGAAAATTTAATTAGGAGTGATTATTTGAATGAGATTTGAAAATGTGTCATATATGAAAATTTATTATATATTGACCATCCTAATAATAACTAATGAATATTATAATAATAACTAATAAATAAAAAATATTCTTTAAATTTCAATTTAATAAATTTTAATAAATAGTATCTAAATAGAATAAATCTTAATAAATCCAAGATGCCCTTGAATTTATAACAACTTTTATTGTTTAATCTAAAAAATAAATCTCACTATATCCTACTAATCAATATAAGAGGACAATTATACTAAATATAGGAAGAAAACATGGGACGGTAGAAAGATTAAAAGAAAAAACAGAGAAAATGAAGGAGAAAGAAAGTTAAATCAAGAAAGCGTGGGGCATCTGCTTCCTGTTGTGGTTGCAATGCACGTTCCAGCTGCACTTCAACTTGACCCATGTCTGGCCTCGCATCCGGATCTCCACTCAAGCAACTTGCTGCAATATCTATGTACAATCTCCAACACTCTGGTGCTATCTCTCCTACCAAACTAGGGTCAATTATTTTCCCAATATTTCCCTTTTCCTCAAGATTCCTGAGTACTCCCTCAGCCATAGCATGGGAAATTAGTGATACGACACCGTTCCAATTATCTGTACTTTCTGTAGCAGTCCGTACTTCCTCAGCTGTGTTTTTGAAAGATGGCGAAGCATGTTTATCCTTACCCTCATTCTTCTTCTCCTGATCATACTCTTCATCAGTTATCATCAGAATTTGCGAGAGTGTTTCTCTGCTTATTAGTTCTAACAAAAACATTCCAAAACTAAAGACGTCGCATTTACTTGACACCTTATTATTAATAATATACTCAGGGGCCATGAATCCCACGGTGCCTCTGACTCTTTTCACCTCCTTGGCCTTATCCTTGGATGAATATTTTGGTCCTTTTAATGAAAGCCCGAAATCTGAGAGTTTGGGATTCCAATGCTCGTCCAAAAGAATGTTCTGTGATTTTACATCACAATGGACGATGGTGCCCTTGGTTCCTACGTGAAGGTAGTGTAGTGCACGCGCTATTCTTATGCTGATCTCTAGCCTTGTCTTCCACAAGAGTGCTGGTGAGTTGCTATCCCTTTCGCGAAGTTGATGGTGGAGGGATCCATTAGGCATGTACTCATACACCACCATCATTTCATCTTTAAATTCATCGTCGCAAAATCCAAGGAAGGACACCAGATTCGGGTGGTGTAGCTGGCACATAAACACGATCTCGTTCACGAACTCGGAACGCTCTCGGATGGAATCTCGACGCTTCACTGCAATTTCTATTGGTTGACCATCGATCGAGATGTGACCTCTGTATACATTACCAAGACCTCCTTTACCGATTGTTCGGCTTTCATCAAAGTTGTTGGTTGCTACTCGAAGTTGGGAAAGAGAGAAGCGGTGGGAAAGCTCTTCTACGGTGGCCGAAGGTCTTTTAGTAGAAGCAGATGCTCGAAAGCACTGGTCAGGAATCCCATTGGAGCGGTGGTCTGCAATTGAAGTGGCGTACGTATATGGTGAGGATGAAAGAAGGAAATTTAGAAGCCACTTGCATTATTACATCCTCGCAATAATAATGATGAGGATGTACACAATAAAAATCCCCGGATAAAAGGAAAATTTTTCTTAATTAAAATGTAATGACACGAAAAGAAAGTCAAGCACGTGCAGGTAGGAGTATTGATTTCGAAAAAGATAAAAAGGTTATGTAGTCTACTCTCAACTCATAATTCACAAGTTGCTTTGTTTGAATTTTATTGTTAATATGAGAACTTTATTTATAGACCATGTTTAAGTATTTTCATAAGTGTTTTTTAAATACTGGAATATGTATTGATCCAAATAAGTTTTTAGGATTCAACCTCACTTTTTTTTTGTAAATAAAAAAAATTCAAAGATGATAGAGTAAGCAACCGTGATTTAATCACAAAACACGAATAAGAGGAAAGCTTGTGAGGGAAGCAATAATGAAACATGCATGCAAGAAGATGTAGAGACAAAAGTCGTCGTCGTCGTAATGGATGATCGATTCTCATTAAAACTTTAATGACAACAATATCGTGGACACATCGCAAGGCATGCTGGCACGCCCAAATAAAAAATAAAGTAAAATAAAATTCTCCAATAATTTTACAGTATACATCAATCGAGTCATCTTTGTTTCTCCTTAAAAATAATAGAAGTACGCTTGGTCAGGATAAAATAATAGAAGGGGGTCCAAGCGTACACGGATTCGGACCCTGACCACTAGATTAATCTTATGGTTGGAAGAAGTACCGGTGTAAAATTAATTAATTTACTAGTTACCAAAAGTTTTTTGCCAAGACTCCACATCTTCTTAAGTCTCTGAAGGCGACAAGCCAGCTATATCAACGACCACAGATTTGTTAGCTACTTGAAGAACAAAATCGAAAGATTGAATCCCAATAACATTCATACCCATGTACGGGAGGAGACAAACACAAATAAGCAAGCATCACCACTACCCAAGCGGTAAGTTCTTCTTATGTATGCGAACGTCAAGTGCTCTGGGTTTTATCTCAAGGTCAAAGGTTGTGAATATCACAATTATCTTTGTGACATCGAAGAAAATTGTGTAAATAAAGAACGGAAGATCAATAGACGGGTGAGGGCCGCGGTCCGGCCATTACCCAGACACCTTACCGGCTCGTTTTTAGCTTTGGACCGTTTGAAGAGTTGCCCCGGGTTGAGACGTTCAGAAACAGCTTCTGAACAGGGAACCAGATTTGAGCCGGGAAACGGAGCCGATTGAAGGAAACCAGAAGGCCAAAATAGAAGAGGGAGAAAAGGGGAAGGAAAAGAATTAAAACTGGACAGAAAAAAAGAAGGGAATATGAAAGGAGAGAAAAATACACATATCTCTCAATTAAAAAAAAAAAAAACAGAGAGAACTTACCAAGAGTCTATGATGAGAACGCAGCGACGTTGAACAAAGAATACCAAAAAGGCAATCCCGACGGCCCAAAAAAAAAAAAAACGTGAGGGTAAAAAAGAAACGAAGCTAGATATAAAACATGAGGAGACTAGTCAACGGCCAAAAGAAACTCTCACATGGATGCCAGATGGACAGCTGTCCAACGGTCACTCTTAGTTTTTTGCATATGATTGTACTAACTTTAATTATTGGGACTTCACAAGGATTAATTAACTTAAATTAAATTTTAATTAATTTTAAAGTATTAAATTTTAAAAATTTATAAATTTAACTCTTAACTTTATAATTTTATTACAATGAATTTTATTTTAATGAATTTATTTATTTTTTATTTATATTAAAATTTAAAAATTAAATTATAAATTTATCATAATAAAATTACACAATTAAAAATTAAATTTATAAGTCCTTAAAGTTTGGTACTTTAAAATTAATTAAGACTTATTTAAATTAATTAATTTCTTTGGATCCTATATATCATTTTCCTTTAATAATTTTTAATTATTAATATACTTTGATCTTACCAAAAATACCAGCAAAAAGAAGGGAGAATGATCATTAAATTCCAAAATTTTGAATTAATAATAATTCTCAATAATTTTTTTAAAAAAATTTATTAAAAATATTCATCCAGATAATCATAAATTTAAGAGTTTTAATTATAAAAAATATTTAAGTGTTAAATTATAAATAAATATTTAAAAATAAAATATAACTTACATTGAAGCAAAAGTTTTTGTTTACAACTATTTAAATTGATATTTTTAATTAATTTATAAATTTTTTTATGAGAACTTAACTATAATTAATTATGTCGTGGGATCTAACTACCAGTCTTCCCAAAAAGAAACATTGAAATAAAAAATAAGATGAAATGGTTTTTCACTTTTTACATGCAATGCTTTGACGAGAATTGAAATGCGTCCCCGGGGAATACTGAAGTTTTGCTTTTGGTCAGTTTAATTACCAGACCACGTGTATTCATCATCTTGTTCAAGACTCAAATTTCAAATGCAATAAATATATTGAATCCTAGATGAATGAACTCAATACTCTCCTAGTGAGAGAAACCCTGCCTTCTCTATGAGAACACTCCTTTTTGAGTGCCCTTTGTCTTCCTTGCTTCCTCTTTTTGTCACTTTTTTTCACACTGGTGTTCTTCTCCTTGCCTACTTGCCTTTATTTTCCTGGTTCTTCTAGCCTTAATCATTTGGGCTCAGTTTCTACTTTCTTCCCTTTTCTCATTGGTGCTACTTTTGTGTGGTTCTTGAATCTGGTCTCTAATTATTTCGGCTCTGCTCCCTGCACCAATAAGCTCTTTCTTTCTTTCTCTCTTTCTTTCTTTGTTTTTTTTTTTTTTGGTTTCTGGTTACTTGATTTGTGTTCTTTTTCTCCTAGATTTTGTTGTTTTTTTTCAGATCTTCATTTATTATGCTCAGCTCGTGCTCTGAACTACTGATCATAGATGCTTTAGTGCTTCATTGACAGTTTTTGGTATTCTATCTTCTTTCGGAAGTGATCGTTTCAGATTCTGAAGTTATGAGGCTCTGCTTATTTAAGGGAGGTCAAGTCTCCTTCTTTTCATCACGCCTTTCGCTTATGCTTTCTCGCCTCTGCTTATCTCCTCTGTTTCTCCAAATTTCTAGTCAAGCTTTCGCCTTTTTCTCTCGTACTCTTCTTTACTCCTGGATTATTTCTCCCGTCTATGGTGGCTCGCATTTTTCAGCCTTCACTGCGTTTTAGGCCTCATGCTTTTGCTCGACCGAGTTTCTCTCTGGCCTCTTGTGCCTATTGTTGTGGTGATAGATGCTCATATGTACTCGTTGAGATCTCTTTCAAGAAAGCTTAGGAGGGCTTGGTTACTTCAAGACAGTTTTAGAACTGAGGGGAGGATTAGTTGCTTCTTTCTGATCAGCTTCAATAATCAGGAGGACAGAAATTTTGTTATGGATAATGGGCCTTGGTCCATTCAAAACTCTCCGCTTGTAGCTGACCACTGGTGTCCCAACATGCATTTAAGTGAGTGAGTTGTCGGTTATTTCCCCATCTGGGTCCAATTCTGGGCCATTCCTCTGGAGTACCACAATGAGATGGTGGCTAATACCTTAGGAGACATAGTGGGCGAAACGGTTTTCCTTCATGATCATACTGATTATTCAAGTTCTCTGAACTTTCTTAGAGTCCGAGTTTTGATTAATCCCCGCTTACCACTTATTCAACGTATTAGAGTCAACCTTGACTCAGGGATTTCCTTTGAAGTTGAATGCATTTATGAAAAAATCTTTAGACATTGTCATTTCTATCGGATCATTGGTCACACTCAGCAAGAATGTCCTAGAACAGTGCATCAGGCCTTCCACGGTTTCAACTGGGTACATGCAAGAACAGTCAGAAGGTTCAGTAATCATTTCCAATGTTTCTTTGACTGAGGCCCCCTAGCAAGTGATTGGCATGAATGGATCAGGAACAACCGGCAGAGAGGCACTTCTAGGATTCGCTTTTTCAGACATGCAAGGCCAGGATATAGAATCTATGAAACTCTTCCAGAACATGTCCTCATCAATGATGCTGGTCCTAATCATCTTTTCTTTCACCTAGATGATGAAGACTCTTCAGATTCAGAAAATCAGGGAGGCCTCCCTCATGAGGAAATGGCTGAGCCAACTTTTTCGCAACAGGATAATCAGCCTTTTTCAGCTGCAGTTCCACCCGATGATTGATCTCAAATTAATACCATGGTGAATGAAATGTTGGATGAGGATTTTGTGGTTATTCAAGATCAATATGCCTCTTTTCTATCCAAATCTGACAATGCGAGATCTAATATTGAGGAGGGTAGCCCTCTACCCAATCCAGAGAAACTTCCACAGCCTGAGACTCAACCTCTCTTTACAGATGCTAGAAATCCTCTTGAAGAAACGTTGGTGATGAAGGAAGTTTGTCGGAAGAGGGAAGCAGATGTAAACCATCTAGTTGATGTTGCTCCAATTTTCGATCAAAGGAGCTTGGAGGTTGGTCTGCCTTGCCAATTTGGAAATATGATTACTTTGGGTACAGAATTAATAAAAAAAGAAGGTTGAATGATAGTCTGGATTCTCTTAAAGCCGAAGTTGATGAATTCGCTAGGCGCATTTTCTCTAATTTGGGTAAGAGGGTTGAGATACCACCTGATTTTTAAAAAGTATTATCCACTCTGGTTCTGATCCTCATTTCATAAAATCTTCCAAATGGTTTTTGCTGGACAACAAACCCCCAATTCCTTTGGTGTTAGTTAACAGTTGGAGGAATAACTGTGACAATTATGGTCGGTTTAAGATTGGTTTCGGCCTCTGAACTATGAACTCTTTGAAAAGGCATTTCAAACTAGTAATATACTGTTTTATGATTTGAGTGAGCATGGAGGATTTGCGTTCTCACCTACTGCAATTATGGATGGACCACATTGGCTTATTTATTTTTCTTATGTTCTAGATGTCAGCTCAGCAATTTATACTTCCTTGGATCAAGTTACTGCTCCTATTGCTGATCAAGCTCTGGCACCTACTCAGAATTGTGAGACTGCTCCATCATTCCAGGATCCACTACCTTATCTAAACAACTCCTCTCTCTTGGAGGCTTTCAACTTGAATTTGGAACCTTCAAGTCCGCCTGGTCTGAAAAAAAAGAAAGCTGTTAGAAGACCATTTAGTTTTTGAGAATTCTAACAAGAGATTGAAGCTTATCATTGACCTGTCTATTCCAGCAGAGGCTCAGGAAGCTGCCTGTGAAAAGCTTCCCAGGGTGCATAAGGATCATTTGCTGGAACTGTCGCGGCCTGCGTAAGGCCATGGCAGTTCAAAGGGTTAGGCAGTTAGTTTCATCCTATAGGCTTGATTTAATCTTTTTATCTGAAAATAAGGTGGAACTTTCTGTCGCTAGTAACTTGCTTTCTACTTTTGGTTTAATAATTATGTGGGGCTAGATGCTATTAAAAAAGGGGGAGGCATTATAGTTGCCTGGAATAATTGCCTTGATGTTCACATCCTTTATTGTACCCCTTCTGTAACCCATGTAATGCTGCGCTATCATGATGAGTTACAGGAAATTAGACAGTTCGGGCCATGTTTCACCTGGTCTAACATGAGAAAAGGGCTTGCTAATGTTAAAGAACGATTGGATATGGCAGTCAGCAATGTCCTTTGGTTAAACTCATATCCTCATTCCAATGTTAGAACCCTTGCTCTTGCAGCCTCAGATCATTCTCCAATTCTTTTCTCTACCTTCATTGAACATCACAGAGGTAAATTTAAACGGTTTGAGCCTTATTGGTACAATCTAGGAAATTGCAGTGAAGTTATAGCTTAGAGTTGGGGTCAACATTCCACTGGGTCTCCAGGCCTTAGGCTAAAATGTAAACTGAATAGAACTCTGAACTCTTTATTTCATTAGAGTCAAGGCAAGGTTGGTAATTTTAGATGGCGTATTAAAACTCTGGAAAAGGAAATTTTAGATATTACTGAGAAACTTTCTATTGGAAATTTACATTCTGATGAGCTAAATGCTTTGCTTAGAAAGAAAAAACATGATTTGGAATTTTTGTATGACCGTGAGCATAGCTATTGGCAGCAAAGAACTAAAATTCGGTGGCATTAGGAGGGAGAGAGAAAAACCAAGTACTTTCATTCAATAGTAAGCAGGAGAAAAATGAAAAATTTTGTTTAGGCTCTTCAAAGGGAGGATGAAACATGGACTTATAACCAACAAGAAATTCAGAACATGGCCTTTAATCATTTTTAGAGTATCTTATCAAGTACTAATAATGGTGATGTTGAAGCACTTATCAGAGAAATGAGAGATTTATCTCTTCCAACCCTATCTGAAGAGGAAGTTAGCATCCTTTTATCCCCTATTACTTTGGAAGAAGTTAAAAGAGCAGTTTTTGAGTTGCCTAAGGATAGTGCGGCTGGACAAGAGGGATATCACGCAAGGTTGTTTCAGAGTCACTGGGATATTGTCAATTATGATATTTCTTTCTATGGCAACTTCCTTCTGGAACACAGGATATCTTCTTACTGCTTTGAATAAATCATATATCACATAGATCCCTAAAGACAAGACAGTACAAACTAAGATCTGCGACCAATTAGTCTGTGCAATGTAACCTATAAAATTATCTCCAAGATCTTGTGCAATAGGCTTCAACAAATTCTATTGCGTCTTATAACTCCCTTCAAGAGTGCTTTTTTAAAAGGGAGGTTAATATCAGATAATATTCTTCTTGTATGGGACATCATGAACAAAATTCACTCTTCTGGAAAGGGAAGGAAAAATCTAGCAGCCTTAAAAATAGGCTTCTCAAAAGCATTTGACCGACTTTCCTGGTGTTTTATTGAGGCTATTCTTAAATTGATGGGCTTTCCAATTGAATGGATTAAATTGATCATGGCTTGCATATCGTCTGTGTCCTACCAGATTCTTTTACATGGTCAACTGTCTCAATCTTTCACTCCTTCCTGTGGTATTCGCCAAGGTGATCCCTTGTCTCCCTACATCTACATCCTTTCATCTAATGTCTTATCTTGCATAATTAAGCTTTACCACGACAGTGGAAGATGGGAAGGAATTAAAATATGCTCTCTAGCTCAACCAATATCTCACCTTCTTTATGCTGATGATTCAATGCTTTTCTTTGAATGCACTGACAATAGTATTGCCTCTGTGAAGGAAGCTTTAGATCTATTTTGTAGGGGGTCTGGACAAAGAATAAATCATGAAAAGTCTAACATTGTTTTTAGTCCTAATGTGTCTATTCAGAATAAGTTAGCCATTGCCGCTTTTCTAGGGGTGAATATTACTGAGAAGCTTGGGAAGTACTTAGGTACTGGGGTTGACGCAGGGAGGAATAAAGATCATATTTACCAGCATATTGTTAACTCGGTTCAAAAAAGGATTTGCTCTTGGAAAGGAAGGCTTCTATCTAAGTCCTCGAGATTAGCTTTGATTAAGTCTATGTTATCTTCAGCCAATATCTACCAGTTATCATGTTGTAAACTTCCCATTAAATATTGCAAGCTAATTGATTCTATGTGTATTGATTTTTTCTGGGGAACTAATGATGGGAAGAAGCGAATGCATCTCGTTCACAAGGATGCTGTTTTCACCCCTAGAAGGAATGGTGGTCTAGGTATTAGGCCTTTGCATTAGGCAAATATGTCCCTTCTAGCTAAGCAATTTTGGAGAATTCTTGATTCACAATCCGGCTAATTGTTGGCTGGAACTTTAAGAACTAATTATTTTGATTTAAACAAGGAGCAAATTTTCAAGGTTCCATACAACTCCTCTTGGTTTTGAAAGGGCATAAAGGACAGTGCACATTTGATTGTCCCTAAGCTAAAATGGAAAGTTGGTAATGGCCAAAAAATTCCTATTGATCATCCTTTATGGTGGCCTAGATTAGGTGGAAAAAAGGAGACAGAGTAGGCTCTAATGTTGCTTTAAGTTCTATTTCAGATCGTATCTCTCACTCTGTGAACCCGTGGTGTCCCTCTCACTGGAATCTACCTGTTCTTGAGATTCACTACGAGCCTTTTGTGGCTGAGTGTATAAAGAATACCACAATTTCCTTTACAGATATTCAGGATAGAATTATTTGGAATGGAAATTCTCAGGGTTGTTATACTTCAAAAGATGGTTTCAATTTGCTTTTAGAAGAGGCTATTTCTCATAGGACTACTAATAATGAATTATGGTCCTTTCTCTGGAAACTAGATTGTTCTCCAAAACACCTGCTCTTAATTTTGGAAGTTGATTTACAATTCCCTTCCTGTTGGGCAAACCCTAAAGGAGCATCACTTGCAAAACAATTCCCTTTGACCCTTTAGATGTTCCACTGAGGAATCGCTTGATCACATCTTCCTTCACTGTTCCCTAATTAAAGCTGTTTGCTTTGGGTCGCTGGGCATAAGGGCGGATGATCTCAATTCTTCTAATATTAGGTCTTGGCTCCCCGCTTTCTTATTACAGATCAATAAAATGGGAGATTTTATGCTTCTGAAAAAAATTATTACCTTAGTCAACCTGATCTGATGGAAAAGAAATCTGGCTTCACATAAGGCTTTAGACCTGAACCCTGAAGGACTCATTTCAGATCTCAATGCGTGGCTTCAATATTCAGATGTTATCAGGCAAACAGCTCTAGTAAAATCTCCGCCCACAGCTATTAGTTCTGATTTTTTTAAATTGTCCAATTGCTGTGCACGTGTATCAGAATAGCTGGACTCTGGTTTAGAAAAAAGAAATTTGCTAGTAAGAATCAATGGTATTGCTTGATAAGAAAAGGAGGCACCAGTCTATAGATATTTCCTTTCTCAGATTGGTTCATGCGAAGTCGCAAATTTGACTTACCTTATGTTACTCGAGCAGCTCTTAACTGGATATCTATCTTTGCTAGAGAGAACTAGATTTCCTTGGCTTCAATAGGATTAGTGGGCTTTTGGAAGAATCTTCACAGAAGCAAACTCTCAAAGAAAACGAAATTTGATGATGTTGTTGTTTGGCAGGACATTATCTCTCTCCTTTCCCATTTTGAATATGGACTCTCCTTTTCTTTTTTCTTTTTTTTCTCTCCACTTCCCCCATCTTTACCTTTCATTAATTTTTTTTTTAAAATATTTAATAAAATAATGTCAAGGGTAGAGATGGGAGAAATGAAGATAAAAGAAGAGTACGAAAAAGAGAGTCCCCTCTCCTCCTTTTTACCTGTCAGTCTGATGCCTTTTTCTCCTTTTCTTTTTCGCCTGGCTGTACTTTTATAAACCTTGTGTAATCTTTTTTATTTAGTTGTTATGTTTTCAGAAAAAAAAAAAAGAAAATGCAATAAATATATTGAGTAGAAGCATTTACTTATTTTTATATAAAATATAAGCATGTAATATAATCATTATTAAACACACACACATAAGTGATTGCTAATTCCAAAATTTTAATCAATAAATCACTCTAAAAAATATACAATATCGACTAAATAACAATTACATAAACAATTAAGAAAAAACATAGTCACCTCGTAATTGATTTTTAACAAGCAAGACTCATCGAAGCAATTTAAGTATATTAATCAATACTTTCTTGCAAAAAATACCAGGTCATTAATCAATAATTTAACATAAAATTACAATACGGTGTGAAACTAAAAAAATATTTCTTGCAATACTCAACTAATGATAGATAAGTGAATATGCCATCTAAATCATATCATTTTACTTACAATTCAAATGAATATGAAGGAACTAAAATAAAAATGAACTTCTTCAAGAAAAAGAAAATTTGAAAAAAAAATAGATTTTTTGTATAGAAAAGATATTAAAAAAACAATAATTAAATTAACTCATCTAATCATTAAATATTTTTCAAACAGCAACTTAACTTCTCTAATCACTCATGGGTAAACAAATTTGTCCAATCACCAAATACTACTCCAAAAAAAATCTAAATTATAATTAATTGTATTAAATGGATTAAACCACAATATAAGAAACTTGTAAGAATTGTTGGTGTGGGCTGTGCATTTATCTTATGTAGACATTAAAAGTGAAAAAATGTCACAAATATAAAAGATTTACATGAATTTGAAAAATAAGAAACGGTGCCAAAATCAAAGGGAGATTTTTAATAATGTAAAGCTCCAATTTTAAAATTGAGAGGAAATAAATCCTGCAATAACTCAACTGTATAAGTGTATTATAACCAAAAAAGTTAAAACTACACATTTAAGTGTACTTTGTGTGCACCCACTTTCCTATCGGTGTACGTGTGTGTGAGAAAATTATAAAAACATAATACTTCCTTCTAAATAATTGGGGCCAGTTTTTGCACTAGATGATCCATCATTACGAACTATTCTTTTTCTTTAACTTTCAATTACCCCTATTACCCAAACAAAAAAAAAAATTTCAATTACCACCCCCTTTAATGAGTTCATAAGACTTAAAAAAAAAAAAAATTGATGTTATTATTGGCTAACTGACCATCTCCCACAAAATACATGGGTGAACTTTTTTAACGCTAGCCTTCTGCAAATTGAAATCAAACAACCAGTACACACACTTGTAGCAGCATTTTGATCTTCACGATAAATCTCTCCCAGGGCAAACATGTGCATGGGACCATGTGAATATTTAGTGAATCATTTGCATCGAAATATCTAGGCCTTGTTTGATATGCAGGTATAAATTTTGATAGATTGAGATTATATTGAGATTGAGATTGAAATTAGAGTTGAAATTGAGGTTTCAAAATAATGTTTGGTATAAAGTAATATTTAGATGAAATAATTGCATCAAAAATATCAAAATATTATAATGCCCTTATTATTGAAAAAAAAAAAAAAAACATGATCTGGAAAAGAGGACGAACAGATCGTGAAGTCTGTTGCCTAAAGCCACCATCCGTCTATCACCTGAAGTCAGTTCTCTCCTCGCAAGTCCGTCTGTTTGTCACTTGAAGCCACTATGAAGTTCATCGTGCCCAGTTCGTCTCTTCATCCTTTGATCTTGTTAAAGCTCGTCTGTCGTGTCACTGAGCTTAGAACCTAACAATGATGAACTTGAACCTACGACTAATTGTGGAAATCAATGGTGGGAAGAAGACGAACCCAAATCTAGCAAATGATGACTCGAGCCCATTAATGTCAAACTCAAACTCGAATCAACGTCGTTGAGGGCACAGTGTAGTCGAGGAGCACAACGTTATTGAACCTAGATCTCTCTACTGTTTTCAATCCTGGGGCACAGCATCGCCATGGATGGCAGAGGTGGAGATGCCGATGTTGCAGTCAATGGCAGAAGTGGAGGCAAGGGATGACTTGGACAAGGGAGTGCACAGTATGAAAGGGCAATTTGGTCCGAAAATTTTTAATCTTGGGATTGATTATATTTCTATCTAGATGGGACTGAGGTTGATAATAAATTTGTCATTCCCACCTATCAAACATAAAACCTTATTATTACCCAATCTCACTTGCTCAATCTTGCGTACCAAACGTACCCCTGGGATCCTCATTTTGCTGCTGTGTAGTACTGATCTATAAGACTTTCGTTTAACAGGAAGCATTGTGTCTAGAGTACAAAATGGCAGTATTGAGAGTATCAAGAATTCATAATTTACAAAGATTCAGGATTTTAAGAATGAAAATTGAAATCAATGCTGATAAAACTCTAATTAACAGAATAATGTCATAAGAGGAAGATATCCAAAATTTACAATGAGTAATACCCCTTAATTTCAGATATGACATTTTGTATTCATTTTCTTTTAAAAAAATAACCAACATCACTATTTCTATCAGTTGTTATATTTTAAAGAAGGATCAGATAAACCATGTTTTAACTTTTAAGATGTTGCCGTAAATTAATTAACAGTTCCACTTTGTATCATCCATAAAGGTGGTCTCCTCTCCTTACTCAGAATAATTACTAAAATATCAAATGGTAGTCTGCCTTGATACTAACTTCATTTGAGAAGATTACAAACCAAAAACAAACCATTCAGATGATTGTGAATATGTAAACAAAGTGAAAAATCCGAAACACTAAACTTGACCTTAGAAGTCTCAATCAATATTTGACATATTAACATATAGTGAACGTACATATGGAGTTGGCATGATTACTTAACGGAAGTAAACCATTAAATTCAAGGTTAATAAAGATTCACAAGGTATGCTTTAACAATTAACGGATAACTGTGAAACTAATAAATGGTATGATAAGTTTTCTTATACACAGGCATGATAATTATACAATAATTATGAAGTTAATTGATGTAGTGCCTCCAAACAATGTTTCTTTAAACAGAGCATAGCTTCCATTATCAGTTTCTTCAGAATGCCACAGTAATTTAGACTAAAGGAACACCTAATTTTATAATTTAAATAACATAATTGAAACAGAAAAATATAATAACAGAAAAGCCACACTGCACACAGATTAACAATCAAAAGGGTGCGCATGCGCTATCTAGCACCTGCTACAAAGTTGTTTATGGTCATAAAACAATGGTCTGTAGTACTAAGGGACTGAATAGTTGAAAATACAATACATACCCTTCAAAATAAGGATAAACGACATAGTCCTTACTAAAGCTTTGATAAACATTAACTCCTAAGTTAAAGAAATGAAATAAAACAGAAGAAAACATATAGGCAGATGGCATGCTAATACACAAAAATACAGTTCTTCTGCTACTTATTAAAGTATATAACAAACCCAGTTCTTAGCTTGGTGTACTCCTCATTGTGTTGACCCTGCCAAGAAAAGACAATGATCAGCAAGAATTCAATGAGATGTGAGCAGGACTTTTAGTGGCTAAGAATGGCAAAATATCTCAAAATTGTTAGAATGGCAATATGACTAATTGGATGCTCTTTCTGAAAATTAGACCCAGAAAAACTAGACATACACTAAATCATTGAGCATGCTACATGAACAGAACCATGATGCATGACCTACAGACTACTGCTATCAAACTACTAAACGGTACTGATATATGGGTGCTAATAAAAGAAAATAAGAAGAAAATCAATACCATCGAGACTTCAACGTATTGGTCTGCCATTGCAAACATGAGATCCATACATCCCAGAGATGAAGGAAGAGGGTAGAGTTAGCTACAATATCAAAACCATCCAGCAAAATCTTTAAGCATTAATATCATGATATATTTTTCGAGAAGCTAACCAAGGCATACAACTCAGCAAGATCACACCATCGAATAACACCTTCCCTCCAAAATCTAATACATACCATATGATGATACTATGACTTTACTTGCAAACAATATCAGAAGATATCCTCCAAAAAATCAATGGCATCACATCAAGAACATATCAGCAAAATATAGACATGGATGAAAGACAGTGAAATATTTCTTGAGAAGCTCACTAAATTTGAAAACTTGAGATAAAATTTAACAAAAATACAGAAGAGCTCCAATAACAACACCATCGTGCAAAATCGTTTAGCAAGAAGTCATGATATATTTCTTGAAAAGCTAACTAAGGCATAAAACTCAGCAAGATGACTTTATAGGATATCACTCAACCTTCATTACCTAAAACATATCGTGATGATACTGAGTCTTCTTATTAAAAAAAAAAAAAAAAAACAGAAGCTATCGTATAAAAAATAATAGCATAACATCATTTATTGGTGTCCAAAATATAGATATGGCTAAGAAGCAAATAAAGCTTTATCGATAAGCATAATAACGCAATGAAATAAAACATAAATCAAAAGGTAAAAATAGGACGGCTCCAATACCTACGACATGTAATGATGGTGTATATAATCCTTGATAAAATGAACATATAACATTTTCCTACAAAAAAAAAGACCTATAATTTTAATTAGTGCAGGTAATAATATTAAATTGAGAGGGTCCAACAATCATCCCTAATATTAAATGAATAAATTTGAGCTGAAGCACTAAAAAGTTTAACTAATGCTCATAAAATGAATTGAACAGCTCTATGATATCCCTAGTTTAGTTATTCCCCCTTAACCT